ATTCAACCTTCAAGCAGTCCATGGGCCTCTCCAGTCGTGCTGGTTAAAAAAAAGGACGGAACTCTTCGGTTCTGCGTAGACTAACGGCAGCTCAACACGGTTACGAAGAAAGACGTCTACCCACTCCCCCGCATCGACGACACTTTAGACCGGCTGCGCCACTCTCGATACTTTTCATCGATGGACCTGAAGAGCGGCTACTGGCAAATCGAGGTCGACGAACGGGACCGAGAGAAGACAGCCTTCGTCACGCCGGATGGACTGTACGAGTTCAAGGTGATGCCCTTCGGACTATGCACGGCGCCAGCAACTTTCCAGCGTGTCATGGACACCGTACTGGCAGGGCTGAAGTGGCAGAGTTGTCTCGTCTACCTTGACGACGTCGTAGTATTTTCAGCTGACTTCGACGAGCACTTGAGAAGACTCCGAGCTGTTCTTCAAGCCATTCAGACCGCCGGACTCACACTCAAGCCGTCAAAGTGCCGGTTCGCCTATGACGAACTGAAGTTCCTTGGCCACGTGGTTAGTAAAGAAGGCGTCCGCCCAGACCCCGAGAAGACTCGCGCCGTCGCGGCATTTCCAGCGCCGACAGATAAGAAGGCCGTGCGAAGATTCCTTGGACTTTGTGCCTATTATCGACGCTTCGTTCGGGATTTCGCAAGGATTTCCGCACCACTTACGAATCTCACGAAAGACGCCGAGAAGTTCGAATGGGCCGAGGAGCAACAGCAGGCATTCGACGAACTGAAACGACGACTCCAGACTCCTCCTGTGCTTAGACATTTTGACCAGGATGCGGAAACAGAAATTCACACGGACGCAAGTAACGTGGGACTGGGCGCAGTACTAGTCCAAGTGCAAGAAGGCATCGAGCGAGTCATCGCCTACGCAAGTCGGACATTGTCCAAGGCGGAGAAAAATTACTCCACGACAGAGAAAGAATGCCTTGAGGTCGTCTGGGCAATAACGAAGTTTCGCCCGTACTTGTACGGGAGCCCGTTTCGTGTAGTCACGGACCACCACTCGCTCTGCTGGCTTGCGAACCTGAAGGACCCGTCAGGACGCCTCGCTCGATGGAGTCTTCGACTACAAGAGTTCAACATGACAGTGGTCTATAAGTCAGGCCGCAAGCACAGCGACGCTGACTGCCTGTCCAGAGCCCCCGTCGAAACCCCTTCCGGCTGCAGCGACGACAATGACGACGAGTGCTTCCTAGGAGCAGTGAACACCGACGATATGGCACGACGTCAACGGGACGATCCTGAGCTGCGCGCATTAATCGAGCACCTGGAAGGGGGCAGGAGTACCGTGCCACGTGTCTTCTCACGAGTACTGCCGACCTTCGCCATCCGACAAGGTGTACTCTACAAAGAGAACTTCGGCGACAACAACACACCGTGGTTGCTGGTAATCCCGAGTGACCTTCGAAAGGAGATCTTCCAAGCTTGCCACGACGACCCGACATCCGGACACCTTGGTTACAGCCGGACACTGGCCCGTATTCGTGAAAAGTATTACTGGCCGAAGCTCCCCAAGACCGTCCACCTATACACACGATCATGCCACGAGTGCCAGCGACGCAAGAAACCGCCGACGAGGCCGGCCGGACTTCTGCAGCCCATTTCTCCTCCAACTTCACCCTTCCAGCAGATCGGAATGGATCTACTTGGTCCTTTTCCGCCTTCGATGTCGGGGAACCGCTGGATCATCGTCGCCACAGATTATCTCACGCGGTACGCCGAAACGAAAGGTCTTCCTTCAGGGACTGCTGTGGAAGTCGCCAAGTTTTTCATCGAGTCCATCGTCCTCCGGCACGGCGCACCCGAAGTTCTGATTACAGATCGCGGATCTTCGTTCATGGCCCAGCTGACGCAAGAGATCCTTCGTCTCAGTGGCACCGGCCATCGTCGAACCACTGCATACCACCCGCAGACCAACGGGCTGACCGAGCGACTCAACAAGACAATCGCCGATATGATCTCTATGTACGTCGACGTAGAGCACAAGACGTGGGACGAGGTGTTGCCCTACGTCACGTTTGCCTACAATACGGCAGTTCAGGAGACCACTGGATTCACCCCTTTCCAGCTGGTACATGGTCGAAAGGTAACGACCATGCTGGACGCAATGCTGCCCCATGAGCCATCTGACAATGAGAGCGACGACGCCCAGGCGGTTGCTCAACGCGCCGAAGAAGTCCGCCAGCTCGCCCGACTCATGATTCAAGACCAGCAACGCGTCGACGCGGGCCGCTACAACCTCCGTCGCAGGGACGTTCACTTCCAGCCCGGAGACAGGGTGTGGGTGTGGACGCCCATCCGTCGCCGCGGCCTCAGTGAGAAACTGCTGAAACGGTACTTTGGACCATACAAGGTACTTCGTCGCCTCGGCGAGCTGAACTACGAGGTGATGCCCGACGGAACAAGAACATCATCACGCCGCCCACCTCGACCTGAAGTCGTCCACGTCGTGCGCCTGAAGCCGTACTACGCTCGATAGGACTGTGGATCTTATGTATTTCAAGTGACTCTTTAGTTTGCCGTTCTTTTTATGTGCTTTGTTTTGTTTTCGGATGCATCGGGGCGATGCACTTTTTAAGGGGGGAGTAATGCCGCGCGCCAAATAGGCAGCGCGTCCGTAGCCTAATGGTTATCGCGCTTGCCTCCCACGCGAAGGGCCAGGGTTCGATTCCTGGCCGCGACTATGCATTTTTGTTAACATTGTAATGTGATGTTCTGGTGAAATCGAGAACCGTCTAGCTGATTCGAGGTCAGAATGTTCTACGCGTCGAACCTTCTACGTCGAATGCTCCAGAAGCCAACGTGTGTACAAAAGCGGCTCCGCGGGCAAGCCGGAGCCAGTCTCGCCCCAGCGCTCGATTCTGCTGACACGCCGACTTCGACGCCCGCGACGCTCTGCTTTCTTCTGTTTCCTTCTTTATTTTTGGCACAAGTTCGCCACATTAAGCGTTCATTTATTTCTGTTTATTTCTTGTTTATTGGTCACCACCCGTGACAATATCACCTAGAAAACAAAGATATATACCATCTGACCACAGCTGAGCAGTATAACTATTATCTAAACGAAAGTTCTGTGTATGGTGCGTTGCATGTTTCTTGCTTTTCATTTTGCACTATGCGCTGTACAACGTTTGTTTGTTTGTTTGTTTTCCTTTTTAACTTTGTTGCGCTTTGTTGTGCTTTATTGCGCTCTTGGGTGCACGCCTAAGTTGGTACCGTGAGGCTTAGCAAGTTCAGGCGAGGGGTCAAGGTAATAAAATAAGGTTTACTGACGACTGACGGTAGGCTTTTCCCACGGAACACGCGAGAACATGTCGAGCGCCCGCCAAGACAGAAGACACTGCGAGACTGTCACCGGAATCGCGGCGATGAGCTCGTGCCGACGACCCTCCCTCTCTCGGGGTACGCCCTACCACGGATGGCATGGGTAGGGCGGAGTAACCCGGAGTAGATCCTCTCACAGTAGGCAGATCTATAATTATTCTAAAACGACCATTCTGAATCTCTTTTTTTTATTTACTATTTTATTTTAATATGTCTCTCAAATTTGTGCACCCGTTTTGCATTAAGGCCCCTGACCCAGTCAAGTTACCTCGTGGTAGCGTTTTTGTCTGGAGGCCCGCCAGAGTATTTTTCTGGAGAAAAACATCTCATTTCCTCGTTGGCCCGAGATGTTTTTGCGACCCGGAATTTATGAAATCCCGATGTACCCTCTAGCGAACCGGAGAGTTTTTGCGATTGTTTTAATTTCCTTAACGACGTCGTTTCTGCTGTTCGTTTAATCGCATTCCTTTACGGCCTCTTTCGATTCCCTAAATACGTGACCGTCGCTTTCTATTCCGTGTCGCTCTTTTTGAGAGAGAAAAAAATAGCATGGGGTTCTACGGCTTTCACGCTCCTGTTGTATGGGAGAAATTTGCTTTCCGGAAGGCCTGTTTTTGTCGAGTACCATGCTCTTGTTGTGGTAACGTCTTTTCCTCTGGAGTTATACGTGTTAAGAGAGGCTAGGACTGGGATGATGAGGATGATAATGATGCGGCTGTTCCCTTTAGGTCGGGCGGGCTCGAACAATATTACTGCCCAAGCCTGGAGGCATTTGCGCGTTATTGCCCCTAAGGTAGATCTTTTTCCACCAGTCCTCTAATCGTCTCTTTGTCGCCTCGACACAAGGCCTATGCGGGCCATTGGAAGCCGTTGTCTCGTTCGAGGCAGGCCTGTCCGCTGGTGCGGCTGACCTAACCTCAATGGTTTGGTGTCCATCTCTAGAAATAGTCAAGCCCAAAACTTCGGCAAGCTCCAGGGCGCTGATTTGCTCCAAAACAAATCAGCGCCATCCATGTGAGAAGGGCGACAAATAAATCGCGGGTGAATCCCCCCTAACGAAATGATATATACAGAACATTCTAATGCAGCACTGCTCATAGCTCATGCTGTATATACATATTCAAGAGTAAAAAGTAATCAGCTTCTGCCACACAAACAATAAAACTGATTACTCTTCGGTTATGTCGTGAGTCTTGCCATTGTTAGCCTAGCATTAATTTTGTACATATTCGAATAAACGATCTACCAGCAAGCACAAACACGTCTTTCATAAAAGCAACAAATTGGGCGACTTTTGTCCGAAGATATCAGTAAGCGGGGCAGCGAGCTCGAGTGCTGCAGTTTACAAAAAACTAGATGCCTAGACGGATACCCTATTCCTTGGTTTGTTCATAATCAAGATTTTTATGCTGCGTTTTTGCCATTTCCAGCAGGAAGAACATTAATGGATGCAGCAGACGCACCTAGAATAATCAAGGCCTGGAATAATTAGTCAGGATGTAGCAACTCAGCAATTGGTCCCCTGAAGCCAGGTGTCATTCAACAGGTTCATTGGAGACAAAGGCCAGCACTCGTATCGAAATAGCGTCTTCACTCGATCTAACTTTAATGAAGTCAAAAGTATATCGCAAATATTTGATTGTTTCAGGTGCTGGTGCTCCAAAGAGGGGAAAGCCTTCTAGGAGAGCTCTTCAGCATTGTAATCGATGCAGCTGTCATGTTTCGGCCATCGGTCATGTGCTGTGAACAAGAATAAAACGAATAGCAGGATATCAAGACACGCATTCGCTGCAACAGCAAACTTATGCAGTTGGCGCTAAACATTATTAGCATAAAGAACCAACTGCCGGGCCCGCGAAAGGGCGACACCTGGTGCCACATTCATGCAAGCAAGCGGAGACGAAATTGCTTATTGGGAGCCATTTTTTTATGGTTAGCAGGCAAAAGCTGCTCCCTGTACCTGTTTTCAAATCACCATTGGTTTGCTTCAGGCCCTTGCTGGCCAAACGTAAGCGTGTACAAGTTTTTTTTTCCGCTTGTTGAGAACAAATATATATTCTTATTCGCTATTTTTACGTCAATATCGTCTTAAGACGCTAAATCGGCAAGTATAATAAACAAATTAACTATCTTTTTTTTTGTGCAAATGATAACTGTTTTGAAGAGAACCCCTGACATCGAAAGACGGAAACAGCCCGGGCTCCCTCTCGCTCTCTGCATTCGCGACAACGCAACGTCGAATGTAGCAATTTTACAACTCCAGCCGTCGAGCACTCGTACTAACTGCTTTTAGTGCCAACTGTACTTCACATTATTAGCCTTGATTTCTTATTTCCCTTAAGTACGCAAATTGTATGACACTCCCTCTCACAAGCTGTCTTCGATTCTTACAAAGGCGCGAGAAAGTGACTACGCAAAATGCGTTCGCTGAACTGGCGTTCGCAATGTCCCGTAGGGTGGGCTCTCTGGAAAGACGCGTACTTGCGCCTATTGCAAGCTCGCCATAGTCGCCGACAGCCGAAGAATCTCGGAGTAAACCTTATTACGTTCGCGCTTCGTGGATCGTTCTTTTTCGTTCTTACGGTGGCAATCTAATAGACACCGGAGTAATAATAAGATGCCGTGGACTCCCACCGCACCTTATTTCTTTCGCTGTCAGCGACAGTGCTGGAAACAGCTTGCGAGATTGCGTGGTATAGTTTATCCACAGATGAATATACGTTCTTCCTCTGTAAAGAAACTTTCTTGATTGAATTCAGGTTTGTCACAGAAGAGACCATAAAAAGTGTTGTAATCGGTAACTTGCCAAAACATCAATTCAAACTTTTAAGCTTCTATTTTTGTAAGCTGAAATTTAAGAATTAAATTAGACCGTTGAATGTGAAGCAATTACTAGACGCGTAAGAAAATTAGAATTAATGTTGCCCCATCGCATACGTGTTCATATACTTCCCAGTCATGTGCAAAATACTTCAAAATCATGCGTCATCTTCACCCGCACTTGCCGAACCTTAGACCTTGGTGCATCTCCAACGTCACCAAGGCCCGGAACATATCTAAGCCATCTTTGCGGTGGACCGACATTTGCATCAATAGTTAATTTGCCTACCTGGAACGTCGAACAGGTGTCCAGGGTGCAGTCTGGTAGCTGCGTCCACAAACAGTGTTGTGCCCGACACGTAAGACGCTCCCGCAGATAGCAAGAAGCAGACCGCAGAAGACACCTGAGGAAGAGGTTTCGCCAAACTCACCATTTCGGCATCTTACACAATAAAAGGACGAACGTCATCTGACATATCCCTCAGATGAGGACGCAGAGTCATTCTGGACCAACGGGGGTTCTTAGACGTGCAACCAATATCTGGGTTGCACGGCGCCTTCCCCGCAATACGTCTCTGTCGTATTGAGGGCAGCTCGACCGGGATTTGAACTCAACACCTGTGGCTTCGTTGACTGAAGCTGTACCGCAAAGACATAGAGTTCGCTAAGATGGTTAGCGCCTCCATGCATTCAGGTGGTCGGTGGTGCGGGGTTTAATAAAAACGATTTTGTGAGTATTACTGTGTCTGGCGTATAGAGTTTTCCGTATACTCGTTGAGAACAAAAGCGATATACTATCATATAAAATATATAGGTGGGAAGTGGGGGCGAGGCATTGCGCTCACAACGTCTGCAGAGGAGTTTTTGCTTCGTACATGTACGTATACACCTAAACGAGCCATGCTCTAATTTCAGACAGGCGCTACTATTTTACTTCTAGTATAGTGATTTTATTTTTATTGATTTGATCAGAGGAGAGCAATTCATAAATATATTTTGTCCAGGTTATTTAGGCTGCTAGTTACTTGAAAAGACATTTAATATTTGCATTTAGCCTAAGCCCCAATATTTGTGTAATTCGCGACACAAACCTCTTGTGGCGTGCCTGCCCTTTTGGCAGCCATTCGTGCCGGCGCTTCATCAAAAATTCTGCGCTCATAGTTTTTTGCTGCCGTAGCGGAATAGATTGCTCCCTGCAAAAACACAAAAAAAGTGAATTAGTGAACTGTTCAGAAATCCAGCATAGTCAACACTCACAGGAGCGACCGCGTTGACCCTAACTCCACTTTCGGCCCACTCCACGGCCAGAGAACGCGTCAGATTCTCCACACCAGCTCGTGCAGCTCCCGAATGCCTGCAAGATAATCGTTGCTTCATCCCAAACTCAACTTGCCGGAAAAAAAAGAGAAGATCGCTCACGATGCCAAGGGAAAACCACGCGTATTCTCCATGGTGATGTTGACAATCGATCCGCCATGGTCTTTCATCCACTGGCTGTAAGCTGTCCACAACATGTGGGAAACATAAAGTGGATCGTAAGCATGCAACTACTACGAATAGAAGCACTAAGTTTCCTGGTGTACTTTAAAACCAGGGTCGTATTGCTCTATACATCACACAAAAGACGCGATGTTCGCTACAGGCGTGAGGACCAAATGACCTGCGGACACGCATGTTGCCAACATGTTGGTTTAATACGTGTGTATGCTTGTTCCAGCATGTCTGCAGGCAGTTTCTGTGAAACCAATGTGAGAAATCCGCCATACAAGAAAAAAACGCGGCTTAGAGGGTGAACTCTTCCGCGGTGCTCAGTCTATCTGCAGATACGGGCTATGGGAGGATTTCTTTTGTTTTTTTTTCCATATCTTTCTTGACGAGATTTGGCGGTGTTTCTGATCGACAGTATATTAATGATAAGTTATGAAGAATACAGGCTCTTTGTGAGCTAATAAAGCAAACATTTGTCAAAGTTTGCTGTGCATGGTATATTTATAGATGCAGATTCGGCACTTGACCCGGACAATACACTAGGAAGGTAATCTGCACAAATTGCGCACTGCAAAAAAAAAAAAAAAAAACATTGTTTTTTTTCCGGAATTTGCCCCTGCGGGTACACCGGGTGCGGACTGTATATATGGTCCGAAAATTATGATACGTGTTCTTGTAAGCGAAAAGATCGTAGACAATTTCATGGTAAAATTGATTGTTCGTTTTCTAAGGTATGGGACGATTATGAATCGCGGGTACCGCAATGCAGTGAACCAGAAGCTGGTCATGTAAGCATGTTTTATGATGTGCATGCGACTTAAAACTACATCTGGATCTTCATGTAAGTATATAAAGTGCAGTTGTGAAGAGCACAGCACAACTAATTAAGATGAGGTAATCACAGGTTGTACTTTCTCACAGCAGAGCCCAAAGCTGCGGAGACCTCACTGAAGACCCATCATTGCCAATGAATGAAAAACGCCACTTTTCAGAGGGCGACAGAAGCAAGGTCGTGCTTTCTAAAAACTCTCCTGCTGCAAAGGTGGTGGTAGTCCTCGTGTTCAAAGCTCATATATAAAGTATCTTAAGCGAACCTTCTACTGTAAAGCAAGCAACAAAAAACAAATTGGCGTTTACTCATAGAAAGCTCACTTATACCGAATGTGCGCTCAGAAAGTGAACTTTACAGTATAAAATTTCAAAGTGCAGTTCTCGTTTCGTACAAAATTACAGCAAAACGCTTGCCAAAGTCAAGGTTGGTTGCGTTTGTATACGTCTGGTGTTAGCGACGCTATTTATTCTGGCGCCCTCTCCTGATAGGCGCAGCCAGCAGACAACGCACTCTAATGTCTGCTTTCTGCGGCTATCGAAAGGTGGCGCCACAAGCAGCAAGTCTCGCTATTTCGGTTGTCAGCGAACGCTTGCAACCTTGACTTTGGCAAGTTTTTCTCTCTAATCTTTTTAGAAAAAAATAACTGCGCCTTGAAATTATGTATCATGAAACTTACCTACTCAGTGCACATTCGGTGGAAGTTTAAGCTTTCTAATATCAGACACCATTTTTTGCGGTTCGTTTTACTGCGGAAGGTCTGCTTGAGTCATCTTATAGGCCACCGCTCAAAGTCACAGATAGCCTGCACTATACAGTAACTCTATACATTCCGCTTTAGCCTGCAGAATTTCCAAGGCTATAGTCCCGGACTATGCAGGTTTAACAGTTGAACATTTATGTGGTACGAACTAACTACAGTTGCGTACTATTCAAGAATTATGTTTTTTCTAGATAGTTTGTTATAAAGGGGCGTGACACATTTTGTGAACTACATAGTAGGTTAATAGTGATGTATGCATGATAGAATTGTTTTTTTTTTTGTGAGCTCATAAAACAGGCATTTTGCAGGTTGTGCTTTGTATGAAAAACGTTTTATGCGAGCAATGGATTAAATACGGACCATGTACCAGGTGCGGAGGAGTGTTTCTTCATACGAGACAGGGTTGGGCAGAAATACTCAAAAATGTATTTGGAAATACAAATAGTGGGATATATTAAAATAGTAGCTAAAATACTGATACTAAGATACATCTGCAAAAATGTATCGCGATACGTATTGGAAATACATTTTAAAAAGAGGCAAAAAGTATTTGGAAATACAAATACAGGAATACATTTTAGGGAGGGCAGAAATACAAATACAGAAATACTGATAGTGCAATACACTTTTCAAATTTTTTGAGACGCCAACTGAGATGAAGCTTGACGTTTGAAGTGCATGTTTTCGATCCCGAAATTACTTTCCTGTAGGCTTGGCGCTTTGCCTTGAAGGTAGTGGTTTCGGACGACAAGGAGTCTTCAATGGGCCCAAAAAAACGTTCCATCAAGTGCTGACCGCGGTCTGTTCCATGACATCCTGTCTGTCTGACGAGGGAATCCTGTCAACATTGATCACATGATGTCACGGTGGAATGAACTAGTATTCTTTTTCTATAGGTGTGGCCTTGAACATGAAACTTTACCTCGCTGCTGTATGAGAGGACAATACGTTGTAGGTTACCTCGTTGAAGATCGTGCATGCAGTGTCATTTGGAATTTTTGAGAATAGTGGACCACCTGAAGCATCTTGGAATACATGTCTTATCTTCTGTTGTGGTTGAAAAAACGATACGGTAGCATCCCTGTTCTGAAGGTCCTTACTACCGACCCTCCGCCAGCGACGCACGGATTGCAGTCCTCAAGTTTTTGCCTAGCATTATCCAAACAGAGACCTTGTGGATTGCGAGCTGATATTGCCGGCACAGGTGCGAGCTGTCCTAGAAACAGCGGTCTAGAGAAAAGTCGCAGGTGTACGAAGTCTGGGTCGGCACAGCTAGGCAACTTCTGGCCTCCTCCTGGGTTTCGGATCACCAGAGCAGCAGGTCACGTTCACGTCGGCAGTTGACGTACACTTGAGCCGTGCAATCTTACGGGCGCAGCCGCAGATGCATTCGAATATGTGTTAAACTTCACAGCGTGAGTCTTCCTACTATTTCAAGTCAACCACCGCCAGGCTGGTGTTGCAACGGAATGTGACTCAGCTTTGCCGGCTGGGTGAGAGAGACGGTTAGCAGCGGGCATTGGATGCCAGCAAACAATGACTCAAGGCATCCCTACCTAAGAACCTACGACAGAAGATACTCTGACTCCACTCCTGGCACGCCACCTGGTTCGAGTCCCCGAGATTACGCGACACTTCTTAGAAGAGAGAAGAGGACGCATAGAAAAATAGTTTGCAGAATCAAAAGGAACCTTGGTCGGCAGAGTAACAATGCCCCAGCATCTCCTTGACCCATGTGCCCTCAAAAGTAAAAAAAAAAAAAATGCGTTTGGACTTGTTTTTTGTTTTTTGTTTTCGGGGGGGGGGGGGGGGGGGAGTATTTCTCAAGAAATGTAACGAAATACATTTCATCCTGATTGTATCGCGATACAACGATACATTCCAAACGTATTTCGATACAGGAATACAGATACACGCGAAAAAAATGTATCGCGATACAGAAATACAGGTACGAAATGCATTTCTGAAGTACTATCGCGATGCATTTGTATCGCGATACTGCCCAACCCTGATACGAGATGCATCTCAAAGTTTAAAGACTGGGCTGATGACAGTTCTTTCGATACCAGGTTAAGACTAAATGGAGTATGTTTGAACGAATTCAACTGGCTTTTAGTCTAGAAAGGAAGGGGCGCGGCTAAAGTCCATCATTCAGGGCCGCTACAGCGTCTTGGAGCTCTCAACTGGGCAACCAGCTCGCCCCTACCTTCTCTGCAGAGAAGGAAGCTCCCCGTTAGGTTGGTCTCGACGACAGCATTCCATCCTTTTAACGAGATTCCGTCCGCCTTCGATAGGAATTGGCCACCTCCATTGTTGACCAGGAAGTCGAGGCGGCCATGACTTTCCAGGGAAAGGCTAACCAACTTTTTCACCTGGGCAAAACAGATTTTAAAAAAAGACATTACATTTTCGTACGCTTTGCATGCTATCTTCACAACCTTAAAACGCAGGCTATTCTGGTGCGCCAAATATCCCCCCTCACCCCTAATTCTAGTTTTGTGTGTGGAATATAAAAAACAAACAAGTTAGACGTTGAATGTTTAGACAGTGGGAGTTTGGTCCACTTTTGTGATTTGGCATCTCTGATTCACAATGTAGAGGGGAAATTCTGCCAAAAAAGTATGACCGGTCTTCTTAAGCGTTAAAACGGTCCGGCAGTTTTATTTTAGCTACCTTAATTAACTCTATTTTTGGAATCTCTGGTTTTCACCCTTTCCGGTATGCTATTTAGTATCGCGAAATACAGAACAGTTGTTGAGAAATTGGCAAGTGAAGACGATGCCAAAACCAACATTCAAATATACCCACGCTTTTCTGTGCCGTGACGTTAGGGGCTTGCAGTTCGAGCCAACGCCATCTAGAAAAATGAAGGCCTCAAAACGCCCCACTATTCCTCCACGGGAGGTCATCACAGTCGGATGGCGCAAACTCAGCAATTGGACCCGAGCCCGATGTCCAGCAAATTGCGACGCGTTGATTGGATACGAAGCCCAGCCGAGCAATGACGCAGCAATCGTGTCCAATATGTGTCTTCTCTCGATCTCACTGTGATGACGTCAGAATTCTAATGCACAGGTCTTTGAATATTCTAGGCGGTGTTGGTTGAGCGAGAAGTCTAAAAATGGACTATGGCGAGCATGTGTATCATGCAGCTGCGCGGGCACTGGAGCGAGCTTCCAAATCATTCATTCGGCACCATTAAACTGCTTGTAATCGGTTCGGAACATAGTCTACTGCGCAAAGATTGAACCCCGCCTTTCACTGATGTCACTTTTTTTTTTATTGTGCCCGCAGAAAGACTTTCATTTTGAAAAACAAGGTGAGGATCGAAATTGTAAATTCAATAACTTCGCAAAAAAATATTTATTTTGACCTAAAATTTGGGTTACTATTTCAGTGATGTATGTCGGTGTGTTTAGCAACTTTTCATGCAAATCGGGGACTATAAAGAGGACGCCGGAATGCCCCTTAACGTTCATCACGCCTTCACGACACCACATTGGCACAATGCTCGTTCAGATAGAAACGGCCATCAAAAGACATCTGTGCTTTCCCAACTTTTTATTTTATAGTCATCGAGTTTGAAACATGCCTGCCTCTTCTCGCCTTGCCATTTATTTAAAAAAGAAAAAAAAATTGTATTTGTATCGATTTGAACAGGGTATCACCAAGTCTGTGACCATTGCTTACCCACCTGTTCTTCACTGCGAATGTTGCAAGGTATGAACGAGATGCGAGGCTGTCCGTCTTGATCAGTTAGTCCGCTACGCAAATCGTTGACCGCGCTCCTCAGGTTCTCTTCGTTCCTAGACGCTATTGTGACGCTGCAACCTGGAATGAAATATTCTTGTGTATAAAGTGTGTATTTTACAGCGCTCCCCAATCATAACGGCTTATCGAGAATACATTTGCAGGGGTGCGCTATACTAACAGCCGTCATGCCAACTATTAGTCACGTGACTGAACATGTCGAACCACCAAACCGGGCTATAAGGCAACACCATCTAGAATAATCAAACCCTGTGCACTAGAATTTTGACGTCACTTGAATGAGATCGAACGAAGACACGGAATGGACGTAGAGGACAGCTGCGTAAGTGTTAGGCTTTGCCTCATATAAAATCAACGCGTCGAAAGAAGACCAGAGTCGCGCTTGGGTCAACTTGCTGAGTTGGCGCAATCCGACGGTCGTGACTTTCCATGGAAGAAGAGGAGGACGTTCGCGCGTCACGTTCATTGTAGGTGGTCTTGTCTTGGAGGGCGTGGTTTGGACTACTCCTTTCAGGTTTGAGCGTCGTAATTTTAAATTGTTTACCTTGTCCTATCGCGGGACCGGACGCGATTGAAAGCGAGCTTTGCGTCAGTGTTTGGCTGCGATTCCTGTTCAGTCAGTGAGAATATCACTGAGCTCTGTGACAATAGGCCGACGTCACCAGCCAGTTTGGCTCCGCCACAGCTGCCGCGAAGCGTCGAGGGAACTTCAGTCTTTCGGCACGTGCGACAACCTCGCTGGAGCTGTGCGCGTGCATAGCCCGAGATGGCACGAGCCGTCTCGGTCACTGGCGCCTGGCTCTTGGTAGCTACAGTAATGGCGGCTTTGCGCATGCGAAGAATGTTTGGTGATATCTTTCTATTTATTGATGTTAAGTGTTTATTTTTTTTACATCAAGCACAACATACAGGATACCGGAGGCTTGTGACAAAAGCTGTCACAGGGACAGCTTGACAAAGCCTTAGACCCCCACAGCTGCTGAATCGCGCCGCATTCACGCTTAGTTGCTGCAGCGCAAGTGCGACCACTGGAAGTTCCGGATCAGTCATCTAGGGCCTGTGTAAAATATGCCGGGTGAAGCGTGGCAGTGGCTGGGCGTCTGCGTCTTGAAAGACACGTTTTCTGCTGGTTCGCCGTCATTCGCCGAAGAACTTTTTACAAACCCTGTGCAAACGGCCGTAGCGCTACTTTTAAAAATCAGTAAATTGTTATTAATATTATTTTAGGAAAGCGCAGCACACCAGCAAAAAGACATAACCCGTTGAACTCAAGTCCCAGCCAGGCGACATGACTAAAGGACATGTCTCAGCACGAGGAAGTGCTGCGTCTTTGTGCCTTCAGTACGACTGAGGGAACTCTGAAGCTATTATTCACAGTTCAGCACAAGACACATGCGCGAAAAATCCATCCGATCCGACGTCTGATCCGGCAATAAGACTGCCTGATCCGAAAAGTTTGGTCGTATCAGACGTCGGATCGGCGATCCGGCGTGCGTCCGACGTGCCAAATAGTTTCACACGGCGAACGGACTGTCGGAAGCGTCCAGCCAATGACAGCACCCCTAGCGCGAACGTCAGGATGACGTACTGGGTCTGGCGGGACGAACAAGAAGACGGGACTGACCTGAGCGACGAGAAGCCGGACGCGTGAATCCCGCTGACTTATTCGAGAAAGATGACCCCAGCAAAGAATGCACGCGCTAGCGAGAACGAGTGCCTAATTTCGCTCGTGCGAGCTGAGCCGTCAATCTGGGACCAGAGATCGTACCCTGTATAGCAGGGGTCTCAAACACGCGGCCCGCGACTCGCTGGAACGCGGCCCGCAGGCAACCGGCTAAGAGTCCCGGTTCCCATGTCCCGAGCACTAGAAATGGCATGCGGCATAGTGACTTCATCTCGTCGATTCATTTTCGCTCGAAAAGTGGCTCTGCTCTTTTCACCTATTCATATCTGTGAATTGGTGATCAGTGATATTTTGCCCTTTGTTTCACTTTATTTTCGGCTTCCCAGCTTTTTGTAATGCACAACAGTTCCGCTGCTTGGCCGCGAGCGCGAGTTATTCGTTGAAGGATGCATCTCGGCTGCGCAAACTCTCGATCAACACGAGCAACTGCCAAAGATAAAGCTACGAGCTCGTTATTCTCGCCTTCAAAAAAATATCCCCATTAAAAGACAAGTATTTTTTCAGAATGTTGTAATAAAAATCGTCAGGAAAGCAAGAACTGTCAAATTAAGTCATTGTTTTTAGAGACATGTTGAGCTTGGTTAATTGGTGGGTGAATTGAGCAACAAGAACGACAGTGTACGTGCTTGTTCTATAAATATTGGGTGATTCCACGTCAATTCATGCAATGATGGTCCGGGTCATAATTTAGATATTTTTGTTAAAAATATATATGAAAGCCATGTTTTTGGGAGGAACATTCAGCTAGATATGAACGCCGTAACAATTTTTTTCGCTGAGATATAAAATAGAGAAGCTTGAGGCGTGGAAATTGAGAAGATTTCACAATGCTACTTTGCACAGTCGTCATTTCCTTATCGAACCTTTCACGGCACCATAACTTTTTTAATATGTTTTACAAATGTTATACAACGCATACATAAAAAATTAAAAATATCAATAAAATATTTCTATGCAAACAAAAATATCAAACATGGCATAAAAACGCGTTTTAGAGACATATTCACAATTTTTTTGCAAATAAACCATCTTTCATAATACTTCACAAAACATATCAAAATACGGGTATTTAAATTTTCTTTACGAATATGTAAAAATTATATGCCCACCCTTAATTGTCTTTTTGTTATTAACGCGGAAATGCGGCTGATTTCTCAAAATGTGGCAAGATTGAGCGTCCATATTTAAAAAACTCCATCTTTTATTTTTTTTAACTCCCCGTGGCACTTTACAGTGACTTGAACTAACCTGTGATGGCAAAAGATTGAGTAACATATGACCTCCAAGCGGGAAAAGCTACGACAAACCTTCACTCGGAGCGAGCCGACGTCTTCGTCAAGGCGGCTTTGCCGCACAGCACCAAACGTTTTGAGCGTTAGTTATGGCATGTATTTTATATTATTCAAATTCTTTTTTTCATAAGGGCTGAGTATTAGTGACGCGAAAATGGACTTTGAGCTGGAATACCATTAATTAGCTTACAATTCACAGGAACAAAACGGCCCCACTGTGCGAATTCGTCAACTATGCATAGATAAGCTTAAAACTCTCAGTTATGCGAGTGGCCATGTATACATCCGGCCTCTCGGCATATGATGACTTCCACAAATGAGAAGCCTGGATTCCTCTCACAGGTGTTATGGTGGTCCATTGTGCTTGCTTTACCGCACGAAACTCTCGAACCCGTTCCACGGACAGGTGGAACATGCAGACATTTGTTACTTTTTTACGTAGCACTTCCACAAAGTCTTTAGCGGTGGCAATCGTTGAGTTGAGCGAAGATCTCAACTTGGTGAGCGTTGGTTCTTCCACCTACTTCATCACAAGCGCTTTCTCCGTGTTCAGTGGCTGAAAAGATCCATCTTGCCGAAGAGTGCGGCTTCCGAGACAATTCGTTGAATTGGAAGCGATTCTTGAAATGCGCCGCCGCTCCGTCTGATACAAGAGTTATTTCAAAAAAGACTGGGAAATGAACATTAACATACTCTTTTATGGCCTATGTGGCTAGAAGAGCGTGAGCTGTGTCATGTGTCGTGTACCATCGGTGACAACGGCAAAGCTTTGCGTGCCTTGCGTGGACGTAACCACACTTGTGGAGAGAGACACTTGAGTTTTTTTCAATGAAAACTCTGCACTTCGGTTGGAAAGAGTGCTGTCCATTTTTCCGCAAAATCGAAGTGGAACATCACTGCCGTGGGTGGTAAGGCGGTTCTTGTGTCATGTATCAGGCTTCGTTCAAGGTCAAGGATGTAAGAATGCCTCATATACTTTTCGCTCTCCTATTGCCGCAGGAAGGCAGAAGTGTCCATAACCTTTTTGACGAGTTCGCCAGCGTCCCATAACGCGAAACCGATCTCTTCGTCTTCGTCGAGATGAAGCGACTGCAGCGAGATGCTCTGCGTTTTTGGGCACTTTTCGCAACGGCGCAGAAAGCAATCGTTCTGTGGAGCGCAGAAGAGGTAGATACGCTTGAGGTCGTCTTCAGTAAATGTCTTCTTTGGGGAATTTGTTATTGCCGTTAAAAGCAACTGATAATTGACGCAATATATGCATGTGCACACCTCGTGCTCGGGACTTTTTTTTTTTTACCCGTTTTGGTCGTAGGGAATAAATTTTGGAGATGCCTAGTTCGGGATCGGGATGGTCCTTTCTAAACAGCTGGTGAGCTTCCTTAATAGAGCGGGTCATAAACCTTTTTACGACTTTGAACATGTCGTTGATCATGGCTTTGACGACGTCCTTTTTGTTGGGGCTTTGAACAGAGCATGCGAGGTCGTCGCGTGTGTAGTACTCTCACGTCTTCGGCATTCGCCTTTGTAGGGATCAGGGGTTGCCCAAACACCACCTTTGCGCTTCAGTTTTCATGTTTGATCAATCATGTTGGCAGTCGCTTCCGACACCAGACGCAATATTGTTTTCTTCAGGATGATTGGTGGCAGAAGCACGTACAATCAGAAGCTAACTACATGCCTTCAGCACTTCGCAAAACGCATCAAACCACTCTGCGCAGTGCTCACAACTGTCTTCGAGTTCGAGAGTTTCGTGCGGTGAAGCAAGCAAAGTGTACCACCGTAAAACCTGTCAAAGGAATCCAGGAAACTCATCTGTGAAAGTCATCATATGCCAAGAGGCCAGATGTATACATGGCCATTCGCGCAACTGAGAGTTTTAAGCTTATGTATGATGCATAGGCAGCGAATTTGCAGAGTGGGGCCGTTTTATTCCTGTGAATTGTAAGCTAATTAATGGTATTCCAGCTCAAAGTTCCTTTTCACGTCACTAATACTCACCGCTTATAAAAAAAGAATTTTAATAATATAAAATACATGCCATAACTAACGCTCAAAACGTTTGGTGCTGTGCGGCAAAGCCGGTA